CCTACACACATATTTGCAAGGACAGAGGCATAAGCCCTTGTCTATTTTTTTCTATTTGTATGTTCCTAGGGATTTTAAGATAGACATAAAATTACAAAGAGAATCGTTAGCGAATAAATATCTTAATTTTTGCCAGTCACTGCCTAAAGCTATGATGTATATATATGTATATTTACCTATATTTGATATGTAAAATTGGTCTTAAATACTGCCTATGCTATATAATGTAATCAAGTTCTTCATTTCTGGTATATTACCTTCTTGCATTGCCTGAGTAGCAAAGTACTTAGCAATACAGCTGTCTGTGCTAATCATACCAGACCACAGCCACAACAAACCTGGAATCACTATCATGCTCCATTAGGCATCTTAATTTGATTACTCACCTGATGCTGGCCTTTTGGTAGGTGGTGCAGGTTTCTCAGTAGTCAGTTTCCCTATGAAAAGACAGTAAGACACTAAAATCAATAAAGTGAAATGCTTCTTAACTAATTGAAAAAGGCACTTGTACATCAAGATAATAAACAAGACAAAGAAACATAATTAAAACCAAAAATTAAGTGCTAAATTCTCAGGCCCAAGATGTTAAAAAGAGAGCCTAAATTTAAGCATATTTTGGAAAGGGCTTGTCTTTCAAAGTTGCTGAATACCCAGCATTTCGCACTGGCTTTTAGACATTTACTTCAATGCTTTTAGATATTTACATTAATAAAACTAATACATTCATTTTAACACTATCCGCCTTGTATTTCAGTTCCCATAAAAAATGTACTTAAGATTTAAAATTTAGCTCGAGCACAACAGATATCCAAAGATAGAAAATATGGTTAGTTTACAGGTTTACCAACCTGAATGATCAAGAGCATCAGACAAATCAAAGTCGCCTTGACCTGCCAAAAGGAAACAAACATTAAAAAAAATTAATGTGTAAGTCAGATTTTATGCCAATTTTTGTTCCTTTTGTTTTACTTTCATGAGTGTGATTTACTGCCAGAACTCTATTGGCAAACATCAAGGCACAGACCTTTAGTGATAGAAAGTCAATCCAAACGGGTACATGACAGAGCAAGATGCATACAATCCTCAGCCTATTCCATTCTGTAATACATCCAGGGTTTCATATGGCATTTTTGATTGAAAGGTCTCAAAATGTATTTAAAACGTCATTTTGTAAAATAGGAAACTGAGGCACAGGGGAAACATACTGCCAAAGATCATCCAGCTATTCTGTATATTCCCAGTGATTTGAAACCATGTCTCCCAAGCAGAGATAATCATAGCAGGGTGCGGGGCCCAGGGCAAATCAGCCTGCACGGGTCCCAGATGCAGCGGCCGGGGAACGAGGAGGGAGGGGCGAGCAGCCAGATGCAAAGCTGGCTTGGGTCCCCCAAGGCGCGGGACCCAGGACAATTGCCCTGATTGCTGCCCTCCCCGGGACGGCCCTGCTCCCAAGTCTCAGTTCAGTACTTTCTCTATTCACAAGGCTGTGTAGGCCCCCTTAATAATAAACAGTAGAATAGCACCACATGACTATAGCACAAAATTCATCAAAATTCTTCAAAGTCTTAACTGAAGACTCTGAGATACCTGAATGAGAAGTATTACCTATGGTATGAAGGAAAAGTAGGTCACAAAACAAGATCATCCAGTTAACATAATGTTTTTTAATTGTCCCAGTACCTTAGAACATTGCATCCCTAATTATCTCCTTCCCCTCCCTTGGGAACTTATCCAACACCATTGTATTACCATATTTTCCTCACCTTTCCTCCCAAAAATCAGCTGCTGCTGATTGGGGTACACATTTTAAGTGGGAAAATATGGCAATAGCTATTTCTGCAGGCAGAAAAAAAGTAATGCTTCACATGTTCTACAGGGATCTCCACAAGGAGCACACTGCGCTCTCCAGTTGTGACTGCTCAGTCACTTATTGCCACATACCAGTATTTTCAAGGAAAACTCTTTTTTATTCCCCTTCATTCTGCTTTTTAGAAACAAGGTGTGTATCTTTTCTTAGGTCATATTGTATGCTAGCAGGGCTGGTCCCAGGGTAATTGGCACCCTAGGTGAACTGTGTACCTCGGCGCCCCCACCACTTCGAATATAGAAGAAAATAAGAAGTCCAGAATGAACTTTTACATGTACTTATTTGATATTCGAAATGAACCATAAAACAATAAAAACTTTTTTTTATTAATTGTTTCACACTTTTCATTAACCCTAACATAAGTCAGCTTGAGAGTTGAAAAAGTAGGAGTTGCGATTCTAGTGATCTTTCCTCTGAGCTCTTTTCACAGGTCTTTCTCCCCTTACCAAACCAAAGGTCTTAGACCAAGGTAAAACAATAGCCAGCCAGGGCTGTTATTTAGAATGATGTTCCTGTTATTTTGTTCTGCAAATAATTTTGGTGCCCCCCAAATTTTAGCCCCCAGGTGACTGCCTAGTTCACCTAATGGTTGGACCAGCCCTGTATACTAGAAAATATGGCAGTTGACAAAGACTCACAGTAACTTCTATTATTATTGGGTTGGGTCCTTGAACACAACAAGATTTTTCAGAAAGTGAAGAGAAGGGGCCACCAATATTTTAACAAAAAGCCTCCACAGGAGCACTCCCCTCGGTCTGTAGTGATTTGAAAGAGTTGGAGGACAACCAGAAGGAGCAAAGGATGTTATCATCCATAACAGATCCTGCTTCAAACCCAATATAGAGAAAATTGATCTGGATTCCCTTCTCAGAATTTTTTCACTATTGAGATTTTAAGCTTGACAATCCTTATGATTTTTCCTTTGTAAATTTTCTCTTTACTCCTTCACTAATTCTCACTATGTTTCTATCATCCTGGATGAAGTGAATAGAGCTCAGTTGATCTGACATCGGAGTGAGTCAGCAGAAACTCTGTTGCCCTTTGCAAAAAAGTTGTTGGCTTAGCTGGCTGCTTTGTGACAGGTTTTAACAAGTAAGAAGTAACTACTAATACAAAGAACAGCTACCAAAGGATCAAAGACAGCTTTATACTAGAGAAAGGCAACATTTCTCTTATGAATTAAGACTTTAAGAATATACTTCTAGATCACATTCAGTTACTTCAACTTTAGTGGAAAAGGAAGAGAGACACAAAAGAGGAAAAAGAACTGAAACTGATTAACGAAGCCAAACGGGATGACAGGATTGTACAGGAGCTTTAGCCAAAGAGGACCAACCCACAAAAGAGACAGTAATCTGGAGCAGCAACCAGGATCTATCCACCTACTGTTATCTCAATAGATTTTATAATGCGATTTGAGTAAATGAGATGCAAATGAGAATAAAGATGGAGTAATATGAAATCAGGAGAGGAAAAAAACCACAGAAATAATGAGCAGACAAGGAAAAAAATCCTGAAAACCATCTGCAGGAAATGTACAAACTAAATTTTGACCCTATGCCAAGTGTTACGAAGTATAGCCAGAAAGAAAGAGAAGAGGAGCTTGGGGTTCCTTATCAGTTAATCTAATGGGGGGAGCCAGGCTCAGTGGCTTAAAGGAGGGATAAAAGTTCTGGGCAACCTTCACTCCTCAAAAAAATACCCCAAAAAACCCAACTCCTGCCCAGGAATATGCATCAAAGGCCCAGGTGACCTCTCATGCATACACCATGATCTGGAAGGATCAATGCTTGCCAAATTCTAATGGGGAACGACAGGTCAAAAATTAAAAAGATAGATGGGATGGCACACATTATCCTGACATACAGATGGCTGAGGATATCATATTAAAAATATCCAGCTAGTCAAAAGACTGTTAAGAATTCCACCCTGCTTATATATGCCTGATAATTATGCATACAGGCAAATTTAATGGTGCAGAATTGACTTCTGTTTTCATGCCAAATATCTTAAGAAAAGCAATTGTGAGGATAACAGGTGACTTAATTTTCGAGACTGGATCTGAAACACTTGCAAAATTGTTGGTTCACAAATGAACAAAAAAATCCTTAGAGGCTCAGCTGAAAATTCAGCTCAATATGCTATGCAATTACTTTAGGGAATTCAGATGAAAATAAATCCAGATGATCTTCTAAGTGAAAACAGACTGAAAAACATGTTTTTCTATGTTATAAAAACATTAATATGCTCTTTTTTTTTTTACCAGCCCCCATTATGAGAATAACTAGAAGTAGCAGGAGGAAACTGGAAAAAGGAAACAGTTATAACTAAAAAAAGCAGTAAATCAGGGATCCTGGTTTTCGCTGATAAAAAAATCCCCAATTTTCAGGTTAAAAAACTAATCTAAAATCCACATTTTTCCATGATTAAAATGAATTGCCACTAATATAGAGACATATGTATAATGGTGTTTCATTTTGATCATGGAGAAATCTGGATTTGGAGTTACTGTTTTTAAAATTGGGGATTTATTTTTTATCAGAGAAAAACCGGATCCCTGGTTATGAGTGTTTTAATCTTGCTCATGTAACTAGACTTCACTAACATCTCAGAGAATTTAAACCAGTTATTCATGCTTCATTCTTCCAGAACCACCAGGGCTGGTAGCACCAGCCTGAGGGCATGAAACCAAGGCCCAATGCTTTATAATCTTATTTTTCTGCATCACTTCCAAAATGTTTTTAGCAAGCATTTGTGCTTTAAACATAGCAAGTTGACTGTGATTGTGACTCACTGTGGGTGGATCAGTCATATCCTAAAGAGAATTATCGAGGCTGAGAGGATGTTTACAAACTGCCGCCTGACGGTATTCAGTAGACCTTGTCTACAAAATAAGAAGGGTCTGTAATACAGCTATGTAGCCAAATCTCTCTCAGGGAGGCACAGTTTTTATCACCAAAGGAGTTTGAACACTATGTATTATACTAATTCCCCAAACACAGTAAAAGGCAGCAAGAAAGGGATTTTTTCCCCTATACAGCTGTGCTGATTCCCCCCTATATATCTAACCAACAGAGCTATATATGGCTGTGCCAGTATACCAACTTTAAATGTAACCTCTACACCAAAATCATTAGTTCTAGACCGGGGTGAGCAAAATGCAGCCCATAGGCTGGATGCGACTCACTGGGACATTTTATCTGGTTCACGGGGCCCCTAAAAATTTTAGATAATTAATATTTATCTGCCCCTGGCTGCTTGTCCTGCGGCCCTCGATGGCTTGCCAAAACTCAGTATGCGATCCTCCACCTGAAATAATTGCCTGTTCCTGCTCTAGACTGCCTCTGCACACATTCTTTCAGGAACACACCCTTTCAAGAAAAAATGCTAGGCATGCACTCAAAAAGGTATTATTTTCTAAAGCAAAATGTGAATTTAAGAGGCATCTTTGGTTTAAACATCATAACAATTCTATTTCATACTTCTAGGCATGAATCTTTCAAGTAGGAAATCAAAGAGTAAGGGCTAAATTCTGCCTTCAGTAATACTTACAGTAGCCCCACCAGTTTCATTTATTGAAGCCTAGTTCTTGCCAGGGTAAATGACCTAATCTGGAGCTCTGTGCTGGTGCTTTTTGCTCCTGCTGTTCTTGGACACTGCTTCCAGTGCCCCAACTGGCTCATTTAAAAGTAAGCTTGGCTCTCTTTGCTGTAGTGCAACACAGCCACACCCTAAGGCTAGCTGCATACATGTTCATTTGCCCATCCCCACTGTTTGAGAGTTTGGGCAAAACACTCAATAACTGATTTGTATAGAGAACAATATTCTGGATGTGTGGTTAATTTAAAGGTCTAATTTCATTAGCCCATTATAAAAATAATTAACCCACTACTAACCTCACCAATTTTAACTGTGCAGCTGAGTGATCACTGATCAGATCAGCCCCTTCCATTTTAGAGGATTCATAGAAAAACCTGGCTAGTTTCTGCAACTACTGATCAATTTCTGATGAAATTTTCACTG